AACATGGCTGCCTTTTTGTAGTTCTCCTTCGAAACAGCACATTTTTACACATTTGTTCGTTGATTAATTTAACATGGCCGCCTCTTCTTCTTCTTCATCTCTAACGCCGTCTTCCCTTCCACTCTGATCCAACATGGCTGCCTTTTTGTAGTTCTCCTTCGAAACAGCACATTTTTACACATTTGTTCGTTGATTAATTTAACATGGCCGCCTCTTCTTCATCTCTAACGCCGTCTCTAACGCCGTCTTCACTGGTCCAACATGGCCGCCTCGTCTTCTTCTTCATCTCTAACGCCGTCTTCACTTCCACTCTAATCCAACATGGCCGCCTCTTCATCCTCGCTGCATCAACTACTAACGGATTCATTCATTCATTTATTAACATTCACTTGCAGCTTCATTGACTCTCTGTTTATATGCGTTGGTGCTCTTGGTGGGAAAAGAAAAGCTGTTATTTTAAGTTAATTTAAAGCTCTTTCTGTCCTTGGAAATAATTTAGAGCTGTCCTTTTTACTACTGTCGTTCTTCTCCCTTGTGAATCTAAATCTGGTGTCTCACAGTGTTGTAAATCTTAATGTGTTTACCTCGTGTAGTTTGCAGGTTCAGCTGACGACACAGCTGTTTAATTTACACATTTAACATTTTAATTTGACCAATCTTTTGATTCAAATTTTTTTTTTTAAATATTTAAAAAAACATCTGATCAATTTAAAAGTCATTGCTTAACTTTATTTCATTTTTTACTATTTTATTTATTTATAAATATGTTTAATTTGTTTCTTTATTTTATATATTTATTTGCTATTTTAATCAGTGAACATGAAAAATGTACACTCAACTCTCTGCCGTCCAATCACAGCGCAGCTCCCGGAATCTTTCTCATCCAATCAGCACCTTTCCTTTGTCTGTCAGCCAATCAGATTCTTTCATTTCTGCTGTGCCAACATTAACCCTCACTGCTGCTCTTCTTACAGACTCTGCTTTTATTCTGAAGGTTCTCTACAGGCAGCTGACTTCCTGTCTGCTTTTATTTTGTTGATTTTCCAACTTTTATTATTTGTGTTTCATTTTGCTCTAACGTCCGCGTTCTTCATGATCTGTGTGTGTCCTAAAGTGCTTAAGTTAAAAGTGTGTGTGTGTGTGTGTGTGTGTGTGTGTGTGTGTGTGTGTGTGTGTGTGTGTGTGTGTGTGTGTGTGTGTGTGTGTGTGTGTGTGTGTGTGTGTGTGTGTGTGTGTGTGTGTGTGTTGTGTGTTTGGTTGTGTGTGTGTTGTTGTGTGTGTAGTGGCAGCAGTGGGGGGTAGCAGCAGCAGAGAGAACAGCGGCAGCGGCTGTGTGGGACTCCCCATCGCCGTGCCAACACCCTCCCCCCCATCCACTTTCCCAGGTAACACACACACACACGCACACACACACACACACACATCTGTTGATTGGTTTTAAATTGAACTGATATGGATCATATTAAAAGACGGATTTAAGGTTTATTTATCTCTTAATATCTTGTATAAAAAAAAGTTAGTTTTAATTGTTTTTCAGAATAAATATCACTCTTTGATATTTACACTTAATTAACTCCCTGCTTCCTTCCTTCCTTCCCTCTTTCCTCGCTTCATTTATTACTTTATTACTTTCTTTACCTACTTCCTCCCTACCTTTCTCAATCCTTCCTCCTTCCTTCCTTCCTTCTTCCTTCCTTCCTTACATACTTCATTTTCTCTTACTTACTTACTTCCTTTCCTCCTTCCTTTTTCCTCAATCTTTCCTTCCTCCCTCCCTTCTTCCTCTCTCCCTCCCTCCTTCCTTCCTCCCTTCTTTCCTTCCCTCCTTCCTTCCCGCCTTCCTCCCTTCTCCCTTCCTCTCTTCCCTCCCTGTAGTGTCTCCCACTGCAGGCCCCCCCAGCTCCTCCTCCACAGCTCCTAACTCTTCCCCCTCTCCTTCCCCAACTCCTTCCTCCTTCTCTTCCTCTTCCTCCACTGCCACTCTAACACAACCCGGCGCTCCCTTACTCCCTCAGTATCCCCCCCAACACTCCACTCCTCCTCCTCACCCAAACACCCAATCACACGCTCCCTCCTCCAACACTCACCCGTCTGAGGGAGATCCGCCTCCTCTCCTTCCTCCCTCTCCTCCCTCCTCTTCCTCACCTCCTCCGGATGAAGGTGAGTGTGTCCTCCTCCCTCACCTGCTCCCTTTCTCCTTATATTAAGAGAAATATCACTCGACACCAGTATGAACACTTGTATAGCCCTTATTTAAATCATTAGGTCCTTAAAGTTGTAAAATGCTTAAAGCTGAATCATCCATTAATTCTATTGAGCCGAGGGGGCGGGGCTTAATGGCAGGGGCGGGGCTGCGAAGTCACGCCCTTCTACTCCCGGTCCCGCATGCTGGCTCTTACGGAACTGACTCACTCCCCTTGTGTGTATGTACAGCTCTCAACATGCCCAGCCTTGTATTGATTTTCACCTCTTTTAATACTTTCCGCCTCATTCTGAAAGAAAGAAGTGAAATGTGCCAACGTGACGGCCGTCTGGGTGTGTGGTGCGAGACGGGAGATGTAGTTCATTGAGTGTTTCACAGTTTTACGACACATTTTTTTTTTTTTGACTTGCAAAATTATCTTTTAAACTGACAAACATCATATGTGGCATTCGTGGCACAATTCAAACGGGATGGAAAGATAATCTTTCTCTCCCCTTTGACTTCCAATACATTATTTTTCTGAAATAACGTCCCATGGAGGTCCCCCGGAAAGGGAGGGACTTCGCCACTCTATGAGCTCCATACGGGTACTTCTCTCTGAAAGCAAGGCATGATGGGTAATCTGTGACATTTTGCTCTCTAGAATCTCAGGGCATTTTGTCCTCATGAGCCAATGAGCAGCTCTCACAGGAATGAACAAGCCCCGCCTCCTACGCTGTATCCAGTTCTTATTATCCATCCATGGTTAGCATGCTAACTGGGGGAATGCTAGCACTTTAGCAGAGCATCAGAGCTGCGTTCATTATCAGTCACTAGAAATGTTCCTCATTCAAATGTCCACATTTCTTCATTGACCACCCAAAGCCTATGGGTGTCCCTTCTGTGCCCCAACATAAGCCTCTACTGTCAGATAACATTATATAGTTCTTGTTGAAGATGATAAAGGATGATTTTAGGCGTTTGTTTTTCAACAGATCAAAAGACCCTGGTGTCGACAGTTTCAGTGCTTTCCTTGCTTTCAGATTAATTGAAGGATGAAGTGCTTCTGTGGGGGTCATGACCATTTTGAAACCCTTAAGATCTAAAGACCCTCTTGAAAAATAAAACGTGTGTTATATTGGGGTCAAAACGGTTTGTCCAACCCTAACGTCTCTCCCCCCCCCCAGGTAACACGCCGCCTCAGTTCTTCAGTATGAACCGTCCCACCCCCAGGCAACAGAACGCTCAGCTGGGCGGGTCTCTGCCCTACAGACGACCCCCCTCTGTCACCGGACAGCCAATCACAACGGAGAACCAGAACGGGGGGCCGTACTACAACCAGAGCCCAGGTGAGAGACATTGGGACAGGGTTGTAGTCAAGTCACCAATTCACTCTTGAGTCCCCACTTTTCGAGTCCGAGTCACCAAGGAGTGTCCGAGTCGAGTCCGAGTCACCAAGGAGTGTCCGAGTCGAGTCCGAGTCGAGTCCGAGTCACCAAGGAGTGTCCGAGTCGAGTCCGAGTCGAGTCCGAGTCATCATTACCTGTGTTCGAGTCCGAGTCCAAGGCCGAGTCACAAGTCTTCATGTATTAATCTTAGTGGATATACTTGTCTATTGAACTGCTGTGAAGCGAATTTGGCTACAATTCTTGTATAAAAGGTGCTATACAAATATAAAGCTTATTAATAATATTGATATTATTATTTATATTATTATTTATATTATTGTAAATGACCTTTAATATGTCTAACTTTATTTAAAATGAGTTACCTTTTAGAGAAGTGATTATATTTGTATGCCAATATTTTCTTATGGTAAAGTTGTCTTTTTGCACTTTTATTTTGATAGTAATAAGATCGGGACTCTTCGTGTTATCGGCTGAATCTTTATTTATTGATTAGATCACGTTACTCTGATGATAGTGTTCAGCCTATGTGTCTGAACTCCATCCTTAGAGTAATGTGTTACGGAGCCTTCTCTTCAACATTGTTTCCACATAGCGAGCATTTTGCGCTGCTCTTTTCCAATGTGGAAGCAGAATGTGTGAAAGCATACAGCACGATGCAGGGTGTGTCTCTAGCAGGGGTGGACTGGGACAAAAATTCAGCCCTGGCATTTTCTTTCCAGACCAGCCCACTACATTATCAGCGGACACTACATAGAAGTCCACTAATCTCGCGGCATCTTCTCTCATGCATACTACAAAGGAGAGTCATATTCCTTGATAGCAGATAACAAATAAAGCACTTAACTATGAACTCAAGGACTAAAATTGACAGCAATAGCAATCAATCAATCAATCTTTATTCATTATAGTGTCAAATCACAACAGAAGTTATGTCATGACTAGGGGTGGGACGAGACTAACGGGAAGAACCCTTATGCTATCCTTTTAGTTTTTAGTCTGTGACTGTGAAAATCTTTTGGTGTAAGCCCAGTATTAGTTAAAACCAGACTCGGACAATAATAACAAAATAATATCATGACAAATAATCTAAATAGAAACATATTAGAGACAGTAGCAGCATTAGAGATGAAACTCACTCACTCAACGGTGACTCAGTCATTATGAAACCATAAATAGAGAATTGGAAAAAATAAATATATATATATAGCTGTGTGAAAAGTCTAAAACATGGGTTACAGGTCTGAATAGATATGCATTCTCATATACGTGTATGTGCACAAGTATGTATTGCTCTACTTCCTCGTCCGCAGCCAGCCAGCTCCACTCCTCACCAAATTCGTGACCTGCAAGAAACAGCAAACAGAACTTGTACTCAGTATCTGTGTACTGACAAGTATATGTAGCCATGTAGCCTTTTTGTGACGTAGTGACACTTAGTGAACAAATTCATCCGTCATGAAGGATGACTTAAGTCTCAAAAGAGCCCTAAGGCCTACCTGAATAACTGTTAATTGAACTTAAAAGATATGCAGATGTTTGAAATTAAAACCATCAATATGAAAATCTTCAGCCAGGAAATAATCATAATCAAACCTTTTGT